AATCACACATGCTTGGAGGTTGAATCTGATAAATTTTTGTTGTATATGTGCTGAGAGCATTCCCTAAAAATTTCAGCCTCCCAGCTTCCCTATTTCCTAAGTTAGCCATTTTCCCGCCAAAAATTTTCATGGGGCTGTACATGTGAACTACGCACATGTACAGCCCCATGAAAACTCGATAAATTTAATTCGATAAATTTAAGTTATACATTCGCTGAGAACATTCCCTGAAGACTTCAGCCTCCTGGATTTCCAGGTTCCCAAGCCAGTCATTTTTCCCGCCAAAAAATTTTACGGGGCCGCACATGAGAACCATGCATACCCCGGGCCTGAGTTCGATGACTTTAAGTTGTACATGTGCTAGGAACATTCCCTGAAAGTTTCAGCCTCCCAGCTTTTCCGGTTCCTAAGTTAACAATTTTCACTCCAGGAAGCCTCACAGGGCTACACGCGGGTATCACGCACACCTGGGGGTTGAATTTGAAACCTTTGAGTTTCATGTGGACGGGGAAAATAATCTCAAAATTTCAGCTTTCTAGCTTTTCTGGTCTCTGGGTTAGCCATTTTCCTGCCAAAACTTTCACCCTGTCGTACGCGGGGCCCAGACTTGCGTGAAAGTTGGTACCGCAGTCCTGGGGTTGCACTTGGCAGGGAACCACCGGCAAAATTTTGGCGCCGGAGCTTGCTTGGGTGCCGAGTAGAAATACCCGGACACACACACACACACACACACACACACAAGCATACACATACACACAGAAACACACACAGGGTCGTCAAAGCACGCATTTTTGCATTTGTTTACAAGCAAAAACGCATAAAAATTTGAACAAGGCCAGGCCGGCGGACCTCAATCACAGCGAATGTGGTCCATCCCAGTTTTGAAATTTGTCCCATTTTTTCCAAAAGATGCATAAACGTTTCTCCCATTTGTTCCTCTCTATGAAAAGCAGAAGCATTTGAAAACGCTTCTGTAAGAGTCCCCTAAAGATTGCCAACAGCTACCCTCTTTCGAAAGTTGCTTAGAAGCAAGCTAGTGACGGGTTTAACTTCCGGGTATGCCAGCACTAAATAACGTCAAACCAAACGTACGAATCGTAAAGGGACTGGTTTTCTCACTGGTATGATCGAAATCTCAACCTTCAGTTCGATAGTGGTGGTACTCCCCATTGAGCCATACCTGCAAACTATGGTGGAAATAAATTGGGAAGGAGATTATGAATTAGTACTGGATACTCTTTATCAAAAGATTTGAATTGCGAAGCCTTCTTTTTGAGTAAAACGTAGGTAGATCGAACACAGCTTTGGGATACCATTTTAGGTTAATAAAAAAGGCGACTGCTTCTTAACGATTTTGCAGGTTGCGAGCCCCATCAAGTTGAAAAATCAGACATAAATTTAAGCTGAAGAATCAGACACAGCCAACTGCTCTGATAGCCATGGGTCACTTCTGGGACCGCATTGGGCGGTATCGGCTACAGTAAGCGAAATCACTGAATATGCTGGTCACAGCCAAAACAGAACTCGCAGTGGTAGACGTTCACTTATATGCAGTTCCTACGCTGAAAACTTCTCTGCTATTTCACAGCTGAAGATTCACTTAAGGACGCACACTGGCGAGAAGCCGAACAACTGTATAAAATGCGATGAGGTTCGGGACACTGAAAAATTAGCGGATGCATTGTAAAACTTATACGGTGAAAAGCCGTCCAAATGCAACCACTTAACTCGAGTTTTGGGCTGAAAACGAACTTGCAAAGACACATGCGAACTAATGCTGGTGAGAAGCCGTTCAAATGCGGTCGCTGCAATCGGAGCTTCCGGCGGAGAAGAGACTTGCAAAAACAAATGTGAATTCATGCTGATGAGCAAACAAGTGCTGCTTTGGCGACAAAAAGATGAATGATCGAATTCCCTTAATTCGGCACCAGAAAAACCACATCAGGGAAAACCGCAAAAATTCAAATTCTGTGTTGTAAAGGTAATCAAACGCCAATTCTACGTTGTAAACCGATTTTCGGGCAGTCTTGAATAAATGCTTCTGAAAGCAGTTGTCAGCATTACTAAAATTCCTCGGATACCAATGTGGGTGCCTCATTTCAGTGATATTATTTTATACTACCACATGTCGGATGCAGTTATAACAGGCCCTTCGATCTGAGCTGCTTGCCTTCATAAGCACCCACCGCCTGTTCGATATATGTGTGCAATTAAAATTTCTGCCTTCCATCTTTTCTACCTCCCGTATTAGCGATTTTCCCTCCAAAACTTTCAAGTGTTCGCATGCGGAACTCAGACGCACATGAAAGTTTGGGCCATGTTCCTAAGACAGCGGTTGATCTGAGAACCTACTGACAAAATTTCAGCGCAAAGCTTGCCCAGCTGTGGAGTAGGAATACCCGGACAGACGCGCACACTCACTCATACACACAATTACACATACACAAAATATGCACACGCACAGATACATCATGGGTCATCACAATATGCATTTTCGCATCTGCATAAACACGCACAAATATAGAGAAATTTGAAGATTCTGGATGAAACTAATCCAAGGTGATCTTTTATGAGAATTTAGTATGCAAGTGGCCTTCTACGAAAAGTATCGAAGTGCGCTCAGTAAACTGCCAACGCGAAGCATCATGCTTCTTTGTCGAAGGCAAGGAAATTAAGCATTCTTGAACATACTCTGCCGTTTTTCACTGCATCTTTGTTTAGCAACTTAACAGACACAAGCCAATCATTTGTCACCTCGATGCACTCGAAGCAGCACTCTGAATAAATAAATTGCACGTGAGGTGAAAAATATGAGAAAGAAAAAACCTCCGTGCATTTACGAGAAGCTCTGTCGCCAATTTATTATATACAAAGGACTTCCAGGAATTATTCATAAACGTTTGGCAAAATATGCCATGAGATTCTGTGGTAATATGGCAGCACGGAGATTGCAAATAGAATTGAAAAAAAAAAAAAATGATATCAAATGACAAAGTGACAAAATAATAAAATTAAGCAAAATACCGAATGCTTAACAACACTGGTTACCGAATAAACAAATGCTATAGCTAAACACCGAACAACAGTTACTTCTGAACTGTAATAACTTTCCAGGGACTGTAACCCGCAGAAGAGAATTCTGCATTTCAAACAATCTAAAAAGTACAGAAATTCTTCCAAAGGAACCCGAAACTGCGGAGAGATCAAAAAGTTCAAAACGTTTGTTATTATGAGTGGCCGAAGTCTCATTTTGTCTAAAGTCAAGAATCCACAGAATTCCTCATGTCGCCCACGAATGAAGAAGAAACGGAGGAAAATGCGAAAGAAATACTCCAGATTTTCGCCCTCTTCACCTAGCCCAAAATCAGACTTTTTTTAATTTAGACGTCACCACTTGCCACTTTTTTTGTCGCTCGCATAAGCACAATCCCGTAAATTTCAACAGCATTTTTTTCACTTTTGGCTTACCCACCACTTTTTATGCAAATAAGTATTTTCGAGCTAAATCCAATGCCAGATTTGCATTTTTTGGCCATATATTGGATAGTAAGTATGATTTTCCCGCATTTTTTGCTTCGGTGCACATCTCTGAGTGCTTTCGTGTCATAGTAGGAAGTGAGAGCGTGGAAGCGCCAACCGCAGTGCATACACCACTGTAACAAATTGAGATGACACTTTTCGTGCGTGCGTTGGTGAAAAACAGACAAAAAGACCAAAGGAGTATTCCGACATCCAAAATTACGCCAAAAGGTTGAAAGAAGTTCGAAATGCTAAAGGATGTTCTACTTATCAACGACGTAAGCTCGGCGTGGGCGCGGCGCGAACAGTTCAAGGTGAAACGATGTCGCGCAGTTCATCAACAACTGCATAAGTCAACTGCTGATCGCCAGAACGGCCATCGATCTGAATTCTTCCAGCCTGGAAAAATATCTTTCATAGTTGTCAAATTCAAAACTGTTTCCAATAGCGATTGCAAAATAAAAAGTTGAAAATTCCAAAAAAAAACTGATTCTTTACACCACCCAACATCTCATTTTTCTAGACAATTGCGTTTCGTCAAATAACCACGAATAAAACGTGGAATGTTACCAAAGCAAGATACTGTACGATTTTTTTTTAAAAGCTTTGAAGTAAATGTACGTTGCAACTGAATTTTAGGAGCTTCGGCTGACGCAAAAAAGGCATAATTTTAAGATTTGACTGAAACTGAACATTCCAGAAATCGTTTTTTTTTTTTGTTGTTCAGTAAGCTAAAATTTTTAGACAGGCCGCTTAATTCACTTGCACCATAAGCATCTTTCATTTCCACTGGATCAAATGTGGCACCCATAATATAGCTCAGTACAGCGTCCTTAGTGATGTCAAAAAACGATAATCTTTAGAGCTGCCATAATCCTAATTTTTGTCCCCAAGTTGATTTTTGCCCCCCCTCCCCTCCCCCCAACTTTCCTGACCCATATTGGGTGCCTACCGCCTATTTTCTGCCCTAGGCATCCGCTCAATTAATACAAACTAGGTTAGCTAAACTATTATACTAGAATGCACAGAAAAAAACAGAGGGATCAAAAAATACAGGAAAAGTTGGAAGAGAAGCAGAATGAGAGGAAAGATAAAAGAGGTTTTGATGCTGAAAAAGGTGCCGACCTGAGGCTGTTTGATGAGAACACAGACCGGCTCCGCTTTGATTGTATGTGCGTAGAGCGATGCTGATGTGCCGTGCTGCTCCACCACTGCAAGATAGTTAAGTTAGGGAGGGCTTAAAATGAATAAAAATGAGTAATAGGACGAAAAAAAAAACAACGAGATAATACATGATTTTCGGCCGTGCAAAATCAAAAATCCTAACAGTTATTTCTAAAACAAAAAAGAAATGGTCAAATTAAAAAAAAAAAAAAAACCAATTAGCTTCAGCCACATAACATTACCATTAAAATGGCCAAAGAAGCAAATTTTCTTTAAAACGGATGTCCAAGAAAGATTAGTGGTGAACTGCGCCGAGGACTTGTATTCAACATCGTTTGAACTCAGCAGCACCTCA